TGTGAATCCATGTGAAACAACGAAGTTGATCGATCAATTTCAAGGTTCGATAAATTGCCAACGCATGGTGAGTTTTAAAAGTGGCTTTGTCGGATAGATTGATTATCGTTTGATTGAATGGCAATCGTACGTAACGAGAATCAATCGAAACACAGGATCACATGCGTGATACATCTGTTATATTCGTTGTAGGAAGTTGCGTCCGATTCTTATGCTTAATAATATATTCTACGAATACGGGTCACGGTTCAGGGATAATCAATTTGTTATCCACGAGTATCCGTCACGTTCTATTCGTTTGATTAAAATGTCTTTGAATATTTTTGAATGTTATGCTCGGGGAGACGATTTGTCTTTAAATATTTTTATAGAAATCGAATTAGGATGCGAATTGAACGTTGTAATACGAAATATAATGGATATATAATTTTTTTGCCATACCTATGCATTAAAATATTTTAAAAATATTTAAAAAGAGATATTTATTGAAATATGTTAATTTATAATATGTTATGTTAATTCCATGATATATATAGGAATGTGAATATATATAATAAATAATGCGTATAACAAAAACTGGACCGAATAAACTTTGTTAAGATTTTGAATCGATAGGTTAGGCAAAAAAAAATTAATGAAATATGTTCATCATCTGATGATGAAGAAGAAAAGAGAAATAAAGTAAAAAATTAAAATTAACATCATCTTTGGAGTATTGCAATGAAATATACAGAAATATATATATAAAAAGAACAGAAAATATAAGAAAAGTATAAAAATAAGGTAAATACGTACCGTTAGCGCCATCTCTTCGCTTTTGAAGAGATATTTCTTTGCTATTCCCAAAAAGGATAGAAAATAGTAAGAGAAGGATAAAAATAGCGTAAATATGGACTATTAGCGCCATCTCTTGAATATCAAAGATATCTTTTAAGAGATAAAAATTGACTACGAGCGCCATCTCTTGACTATTTTTAAAAAATGTTTCTTTGATAATCCAAAGATGGCACTGATGCGATTTATCGACGCAACGCGATTATTTATCGACGCGACACTAATTTTTAAAATCTAAATCTAATATAAAATTTAATATTCTATAAATGAAAAGTTACTTTAAATATCTCGATATCATAATCGCTATATCATAAATTCAACAGAAATTAAATAAAAAATAAAAAAAAAATAAAAAAAATAAGCTAATTCATAAGTATAATAATTGAAAGCAATCGCGATATTTTTTACAACGCAACACTAATTCAAAACGCGAGATTTTTTCAAAACGCAACTCTAATTCAATCCGTTATTAATCAATCGGAACACTAATAAAAAAATCACGATTTCCATAATGATTGGATCCTGTGGGCCTGCATGCAATCGGTCAGATAACACAACAACAAAAACTACATATTAAAACGAGCATAGTGACAAAGTAGTAACAATAACTTCCCATTTTTTGGATTCGAAACAAATCCAAAAAATGAGAAGTCATTCGTCGCAGCCCTCTTCGTGACAATTTGTCGGGCCTCTTCGGTCTTCTTTCTTCGGGAGCGATGCCCGCTGAAACTTACAACTAGGCTCGAGATTTCTTAATAAACGAAAAAAAAGAAAAAAAGAAAAAGAAAAAACAATCGTGGAATCTGAACGCGTATGGACGACCAACGATCGCAGTAACCATTGTCCGCGCATGCGCAAAATCTCGAGCTCAACGGTCGCGACCGCGAAATTCGAAAAATCGAAAGAAAAGTCTCAGCTCCATTCTCGATTTTTCAAATTTGATTTCCAGAAACAGGTTGTCACGCGAAAACGCGCCTACCCGACCAGAGACTGTGACAACCTGCCCGGCCCTACCTACTTATTAATTAACATTCACACCAGAAAGTATGCTACCTATCCTACCTAACCCTATATTTAAAAAATGGCAAAACAGGCATACCAACACATTCATTCAACGATTCTCAGGCATAACACCCGGGCGCAAAAACCTACACTAGGGAAAGCGTCCCGGGACACCTCCGACACCCGAGTTTGGCACACTACTTTCACACTCTAACTTTACGTACCTTTTAACTGAAATCGATTGACGATGGCTAGTGATCATTGCGTAAATCGCGATGAAATATTACGTTTCGATTTTAATTATGAAAATTTGATCAATGAATTCTATATATTATCTTTGAAAGAAATTATTGAGATAAATTTATTTAATAAAAAAAAAAAATAATAGAAAAATCCGCGTGTTTTATTTAATAACAATATTAAATATTTTTATTGTAAATTGATAATTATGAATAAATTTATAATCGTAACGACGCAATTCCACAGCCTAACCACACACACGTAATGTGGAAAATACGTCGTGCACTATCACTAACTCATCGTCAATCGCTGTTAAAAATTAATAAATTACAATCATCGTGCACATTGCTTCTCTCTCACCCAAGTAACACCTGAGCACGTGAGTGAGATTGAGGCAATGAACACGGAAGGGGTTAAACCTGAAAATCCTCTGCTAAAAAAATAGATTAATAATGTTTTGTATCTAACGGGCTAAAGAATTTTAATTTTATGATTTCATGATATTTTAAATTTTAAAAACTCAATTTTATACTTTACTTTTTATCGATATAAATTGTTCATTAAATATTTTATAAAATTATTAATTAAATTATTAATTAAAAAGAGATATAATAGAAAATTAGAATACAATTCATTGAAGTAATTGATTAAGAATTAAAAATTAATATCCTCAGACGATTTCTCCATCAAAGCATATTTTCGAAAATGTGAAAGAAATTAAAAATTTTTAGCTTTGATTTCAAAATCTGTCTGTCGCGAAGTGTCTTCTTACACTTAATATTTAATATAATTTCGAGGGGAATAATTAATTTGAAAAATTAATATAATAATATATTATATAATATAATAATATAATAATATATAATATAATAATATTTAAAAAACGCGATGTGCAAGAAGACCTAGCCTAATTAATAATAAATAAAACACAGAAAATATTACTACTCATGGGTATAATAAATACCCATGGTCACTATGCTCGTTGCAAAAATCTACGTATACAACCAATCATCCGTGTCGATTCGGACCTTTCGTCCTACGACATGATTGAATGACCGGAGGAAAAAAAATGCATGCGACTCACCATTAGATGCGAAGATGTTGTTGATCCATTAGAAAATGGTCCATCGTGAAGAACATCATTGTGTAGGAGGATATGGAAGCTTCTTTTTGAGAGAAACACTGACTTTAATATGTATCCGAAACGAACATTTTAAACTATTAACTATTAAGTTATAATCGACGAACAAACACTGACTCTAATTTCGCGTTATTTATTTCAAAGAATTTAAGTAAACTATTACGAAGCAAACACTGACTCTAATTTCGCGTTATCTATTAAAAAATTTAAATGAATTATTCCGAAACAAACACTGATTCTAAACGATTAAATAAGTAAATAAAAAATAGTTTATTATTCAAAAAATTATTAATTATAATAATAATTAGTGATTGAATACACGCGTATTAATTAAAAAATAATATTTAAAAAATAAAAAATAATATATATTAAGAAATATAATTACTGAAATAAGTAGATACCTGCTACAAATTAACACGTCTAATCGGTACGAATTTCGACGATAGAATGACGCGTTACGACTCGCGACATTTCTATTATTGAAATTTGTATGGAAAGGAATATGTTCGATAGATTGACAACAAACATATATGGAACATATATATAGAAATATATCGAACGTATATATATGGAAATATTCTAAATACATTTATCATTGAAATTATGTTGAAAATCGAATAATAATTTACACAAACGAAAATCACAATTGTAAAATAAATGTTTAATAATATTAAAATAATATTAAAACGAAATAATAATTGAAATCAAATTCGAATCGAAGGCTTGATACAAGCAACCGGTAATTGTCAAATAAAAGAGCATCGTAAATGATAAAAAATATAAAAAAACTATTTAATTTTGAAATATTGCTTAATGATTAAAACAAACACATATTATTCAAGATTATAAGGCAATAAATTACACAATTAAATATATAATTACAGAATTTATGAAACATAATCTATCACCACAATTTTCAACTGTAGACTGACGTCATGCGCATTACAATGCGCACTAAACATTATAGAAGTCGAGATGGCGCTATTAACAGCGGAAGGTAATTGTACTGGTAACTACGTAAGTAGTAATTAAATGTAAATTTAAAACTGAAAATTTTTAAATATGAATTATAATTTTTAAGATTATATTAATATTTTATTAATTTCAAAATTTATTAATATGATATAATAATTTATAATATAATGATACATTTATTAAATATTATATAAAATTTCTTTTGACATCAAAGTTATTTGTATATAATATAAAATTATGTGTAAATTTCAAATACACATGTTTTATTCGTTTATTTATTTATATTTTTTCGTTTTTATTTATTATTTAAAATATATTTATTTATAACTACAATTGTTTCGCATGTTATATTCGTAATTATCAATATATTATTATGATCAGATGAAAAATTGTTGTTTATTATCTATAAATGATAAATTAAATATTTTTTGACATAAGTGATTGATTTATTTTTTAAATGTTTAATTATTTTTTTAACTATTTATATAATTATTTATTTTATTGATTCATTATATATGCAATAAATTTGAACATTTTTCAAAGAGATGGCGCTACTAATTAAGTGGTAAAAAAGAATTATATTTTTATATTTTTATCATACATATATTTTAAATATTTTGTATTTTTATAAATGATATATATATTTATTTTATTTATATTGTTTAATGTTATATCAACTGTCTGTCTGAGATAATAATTAATATCGATATGAACCTAAATTAATTATAATATTAATGAAATAGAACATATCAAATTAATATTATTGAATATACTTTGCTCATAACTTTTTTTTGATAAACTCTTCTTTTTAATTTGAAAAACTCTTTAATAAAGATCGATAATCATCACTACAGCAACAGATTGCAATTAACTGATGTTCTTTGCAACTATTGGCATGCAAAAATCGACAATCCGCTAATTTACATTGGTAAGGTAAATCGTATGTATAAGGATCTGTGCAACAACATGCATCATGCAATAATTTTTCTCCGCAATAAGGAAGAACAGAAGTGTCGCACAATGGACATTTCCTGAAAAATAAAGAGAAATTAGAAAATTAAAAAATTAAAATTTGTATTAGCAATTAATTACAAAATATACTTTACTTGTTTTGAAGAGGTCTATAAATATAATCTGGAAAATTATAATATTTAATATTGTCTTGATATGACTCCGTTTGCAACGTTGATGTGAATGGTAATGTTAATCTTTTTTCTTTTGCTTGACTGTCTAATATGCTGCTCTGTTCACCTTATTAGCATATAAGTTAAAAAAGATAAAATTAATAATATAAATATTGTTTCAAAGTTAAAATTGAAGAATTAAATATTTTTGTAAAGAAATAAAATAAAAATGTACATCAATAGTATCTTCTGTATAAGATTGATAATTTTGAATGAAATTATAAGTGTCAATATACTCACTTGATTCAGCAATAGTATACGATTGTATAATCAGAATGGTGGCGAATATTACCATGATAATATGCATATTTTATCACTCGATATCGAGACACACTTTTTAACACTTTCGAATATAGGCACACTTTCCGACAAAATAAATTTCTGCAGGTTTAATTTCAATTTCTTTTCAAAACTTATGCAACGTATATAGTTACAGCACGCTCACTTACAGTAGAATCACTTTAATGGTCGATCAGCAAATACCCGTTACTCGTAACAGATTCAGATGTTCCTCTCTTTTTAAAACGATAAGTAAAAAATGAGATCAATCGCTAAAAGAATTCTCGATGAGTTTTTAAATCTATTTTTAATCGTTTCGTTAATAATATTTTTTAATGTATTTTTTATCGTTTTAGATTGAAATTTCGATTATCTTTTCTGAGATTGAGAAAAAGTGCGAATCAGGGACGAATTTTGATTTGATAGAAAGTTAAATTGTACAGATCCGGTTTAATTTCGCAACCATAAAATTTTATTGCCAACCATAAAAAAAAATTTTATAAAATTTTTGTCTTATGGCCTATATAAATTATAATAATTTCCTTCAATGGTTTAAATTATCTATTATTAAAATATTATTAAAAATATTTAATAATATTTATATTTTGTTTCGTCCAATAAGTAAATTCTTCTTTATCTTAAGTAACGATAATGTTGCAATAATTCAATTGTGAGCAAATTTTTACGCGTCTCGTGTAATCGTTTTATCTTATTGTTTATAATTAAGGAACTATCGTTTACGTAAAATTGCATCACATCCGCAACGAAAGAAAAAAATTAAAATAAGATTTCAGATACACGTTTGCACATTATTTGTTGCATTTCACCCATTAAAATACAAATACAACCGCTATTATATTCATTTATATTTCTTTGTACAATTACATTTCTTCATATACTATATACACGAGAAATCGCAAAAATTGTTTCTATCAAATTAGTAAAAATTTCACTTTCGTTGCCACGTGTTATAAACATTCATTTTCCTTTAATATTTCTTGTACGATGAAAAAATAATTTATTAAAATAAAATTTTTATGTATATATAAAATATTTGGTATTAAACGTGTATTATTAATTAGGCCGGCTGAAAGAGCAACCTGAGCACCGTTAATATCGCCAGGAACTTTATAAGATTTATATTCGTTGATGATCCTGCTGCATTTGCTAAATATTTCCCTGAAAGAAATGAATTTAACGTGAAATAAAATTCTACAACTACTAGAATTTAACATAAAATTGCCTAAGAAATATCTTACAATGAATAATCTTTCTATTAAACTTTTAATATCTTCCAAGATATATTTTTTATGAAAATTGTTCTAATCTGTCTATTCTTCTCCGTTCTTCTATTAATTATAAAATTACGCTCATTTTACTCGTTCTCGTCAATTTATGCAACAATATCTAATATGTTTTATCATAATTATAATTAAAAAATAACTTACAAATAGAAGCTAAGTAAGAATGACAACAACATTCCCGTAACCTCGCGTATTCAGCACAATCTCCAGCTTGCACTTTGCATTCCTCGGGCCCGACACGACAAGTGTGCGTCACGAAGGGAAATACCTCTGAAACAATAGATTCATAAGTGCAATGAACAGAATTTCGATATTTAAGAAAAGTTTAAAATCAATTTAAAATAATTACATATAGAGATTACATTAGAAATTCGTTCAACTATGAATATTTCGATAAGTACTTTTAATTTTTTCAAGAATATTTTTTTTACAGAATATTTTTAATATTCTTTAACTTCAATTGTTTTATGGGAGCAAAAAAAAGTTTATTTTCAATTAATAAAATTTTAACTAATATTTTTGGATTTATAATGGAGATATCACGATAAATAAAACTAACCAGTTTTATTACTTGTATTAACGATCAATTCGTAATGAGAGTATTAAAGGTTTCCAATTTCATATCAATCGAAACAGAATACTTAATAATTGATAAGAATACTATTCGAATTAAAATCATTATCTTAGAATGTTCAGAAGTTAATTTATAAGAGGAATTTCTTTCCTTTAATTTTTTTTTTTTTCTACTAGCAGTAGATAAAATTTTTTGAATTACTTTTTATACGATCTTTAATTATTTATGGAATGAATAGAATGAATTTTTATTATTATTTCTAGTCTACTGTTATTTATAGTATACTGTGCATAATCGAATCGATTGATTAGAAATAAGCAAAGAAGAACGTGTGATTCATAAGATTGATCAAAACGAACTCATGTATTCGATTCGTGTACACGATGCGTGCAGCAATGCAATTTTATTGCTACTACCATCGTTGTCATTCGCATAAACTTGGCACGCATTAACAGTAGCAAGACTAACTAGCATAAAGCGTTGTTACAAAATTAACTGTTTACAGGTTTTTCAGGAATCATTAAAACGTTTCTCGTACGTCTCACCTAAAAAATACAATACAAAATAAATTATTTTAAGGACTTATCTTCGACATAAATTTTAATATTTCACTTCACTAAAAGATTAATTATCTTTCTCGTTAAAAATACGGAAAATTATTTATCTATACACAGATAACTCGTTAAATATTTACTTATTTTATTTTAAAAAATGTATCTATTCGCAATTATTAACATTTTTAATATTTTTTTTAAAAGAATTGTTATTAAAAGAAAAAATTATTAGCAAGTTTTCATTTGCAAGTAAAAAAAAAAACAATGAATACCCTAACAAAAAATGGCGGACGATTTTAAACAAATAGATATTACTTATTTGTGCGAAACAAGGTCACCGGAAAGATTAAACTAATTAGAAATTCGAGTAAATGGAATTAGAGGTGAATGGCCGATAGCTACGTAAAAAGTACGAACGAAGAACGCGCGGAATACCCAAGTGTTCCTGTTTAACGGCTATGCGACGTGTTTTGCGTGAATCACCTGGTATAGCCACCCTGTGCGCGAACGCATTATACTCGCGTGTGCCTGACAAGGATGAATCGTTAAACGAACAACGATGATTTCCTGAACAGGTGATTGTCCTTCCGTTCAGCTGGATTTGAAGATACTTGGCAAAAATTCACGTGTCATTCTTCAAATTTCTCTTTCTCGAAACAAAAAATGTTTCTATTTTATTATATATCGTTGCGGATGAGATACTAGATTGATCGAAAATATTTTCGTGCTATTTATTTTTATAATAATATATATCGACAATAACTTCGTTGATAAGAATTTGGAAAAATTTTTTCATTAATTATAATATTCTATATTTTTAAATTTAGACATCACAAGATCATTATTATTCCGTAGTACGAATTTAAACACTGTGACAATTTTAGATTCTATTATCATGATTCGTTGCGAAGTGTTGCATAATCAAATCGACATCGTTTGTATGGTCAATTCTTCACGCACGAATTGTTCGCACACACATCGTTCTCTCTTTTGATCGATTTTTACACGCGTAAATCGATGAAGGACACGCCTAAAAACACAAGCAACAAGTAATTGTAAAAAAGTGAAACAAAGAAATCTATTAGAAATCAAGGTGATGGTTCCATTTTCCATAATCATTGCAACATTGAATGTATAATGCAATATAGAATATAGAAAGTTTTGCATCGTGCTGTTGTAAGACTTTTCCAAAAGATAGAAGAATATTGTTAAAGAACTTACCGTTAACACTGCCGTCGCAACAACAATGATCATTTATCACACTTTCATCTTTGCAGTAAGTCATCTCTGTATTCGTGCAAGGCTTGCATCCTGGGATTGGTCCTGCAAAATTGAACGAAATATAATATTCTTCTTATTGAAGATAAAACATTTTTATGTATCTTTAAAGTAGAAACGAGCATAGAGCTTGGAATCTTTTATAACATAGCAAGAACATCCCATATTCTTTAAATAAGTAAAAAAAAATTACAGATTTTTAATGTTCAATTAATTAAAAATTACATTTCATTATATCCTCGTTTCGATTATAACATAGAACTGTTATTAAACGAGACTATAATCTCATCAAATCGAGAGAGTACATGTATAATTCACATTAATTGGTGTCTCGAGGTTTTACACAATTGTTTTGAAATTGTGTCGTGATGTTGTAGATTATACTGATGTTATATCATCTTAAATATTTAGATATTATTATTTATTATAAAATAGTATTATACATAATAGTAATAAAATGTCATTAAATTAAATTAAATTAAATTAACTGGATCTTATTACGATTAACCTTATTACAAAGATACAGATTCAAATAAAAAAAATAAAAAAGCTACCAGCGAGCGAAAATATTAAAATTGCATGAATTACAGATATTGATTTATTCAAGGATAATTTCAGAAATAGCATCAGAAATACTACTATTCTCAGAATTGTATATATGTTGCAAATCACTGAAATATACGCTGACAAGCTGAAATCGTCAAACAAAACAAGTAACCTTGGTTTTTCACTTCCTGTTCACGATAACTATTACGTTTGAAAAAAAAAAAAAAAAAAAAAAACAGAACAAGAAGATCTTTTTTCTTTCTAACAATTATTTTCAGATATCAAAAACAAAAAAAAAAAAAAAAGAAGGTAGCCTTTGCAGATCATGCAACAAATCTAGAATCTAAATCAAGCGACAATCATTCGATCGAATACCTTTCACATCCATACCCGCTGCAATAGTTGAACATTAAAGGCCAATTAATAAAATGAGATTTCTTCAAGTTATAATTGATCGTGTGAGGTTGAAAGTAACCGAAGTATCTGTTTAAGCGGATCAAAGGGAAGTTATTTTCGGAAGGAAAGATAAATAGATTTCGGTGCTTCGTAAAGATGCTTTATAGACCAGACGTTAGAATGAAGTCGGACAAGGGGCTTCAAACATGTAACGCTTTTAGTATTGAAAAGTGGGATGTATGTTAAGTACGTTAAGTTACCGGGATAGAGCTGCAACTTTTTCGCCTCGTTAATTGCCTCCTCGTAGAGGACTTCATGCTCAAGGAAATATTCCTCGTCCGGATGATGGTTCACCACTGTGACCGATTCGAGATCACCGAGGATCAGGATCAGTATCAACACTCTAAATGTAGCGGCGTGGTTCATGCTAAGCCCTCTTCTTCGACATCTTCGATAATCGTCGGGACCTCGATGCTTTTACATGGATACCGCTCTCGCTTGATTCTGCTAATAAAAATAAATTATTCATGAAATTAATGTGCTAATTTTTTAAGATGAAAATGATAAACAAATAAAATAATTTCGATATATTTTCTATCGTTGCTGGCGGAATATCTTTTTTCAATCTCCTATAGTTTCGTAATTTTAATTTTACCACCATTGTCCACAGTTTTTTATATAGTTTTTTCTTCATTATCCAGACTTGTTTCATACGCATAACATAATAATTGTCGTAACCGGAAGTATATGCAAGATTATAGGATAAGCATACCGGTGGGAGGGTACTGTATGATATGAACGATAACGATTGTTTAGCATTATCGTCATCCAAGGTAAGTTTTGTGAAAGAACTTTTATATTC